AAATGTCTTTAGTTCTGGTCTTGTTCGGGAACATCTTTGCTGGAAAGCAGCACGTTTGGGGTTTTTTTTATTTTTATACTACTTTTGTGCCTATTCTTTGTACTACATGCTAGTAAATCACCTTAAAATTCTTTTTATTCTGGAGTAGAGACATGATTGCAATCAAAGATTAATGCATTTATATAAACAAGTTGCATGTGATGAAAAGGCTGTGTATTTATAACTTTCAAAACTATTCAAAGGTATGTATTGCTCCTCTCTTTCTGGAACATTTTGTTCCAGGGATCAACTGTGGAGTAGTTCCCAACTGGCAGTTGTCATAGGTAGTATGACACTTGTGTGAGTTGGTTGTTTATTAGATGTCTTTTTAGTTTTCTATACAGCTTACAAAAGTGTAAACTAGTTTAAATGAGTAATAATTCCCAATGTGAATGAGGTGTTCTGTCACTGGGTTTGAACATACCACCGTATGCCCCTTGTAAAAGTGAAGGAGTCTAGAGCTACTAGCTATGGTGCATTGTAGTTTCTCATTTTTCATGTAGATATATACTATTAAGTTTCCTCCTAATAAAAACTATGGTCAGCTTGGATGTTGAAGGCTTGCTGGGATGTAGTCAGATAACTCTGTCCTTGAAGAAACTTCCCAAATTCTTCAGCATCGAGAATAGAGAATTCAGTAAAATTAATGGACTGTTTTCCAGTTGTTGTGCTGTTGTGGATCCTATTTCCTTATCTAACTACTTTCTTGTACTGCATCATGGCTCTTCTTTTTTTTTTTCTCCTCCGTTTATAGATTCAAAAATATGCAGTTAAGGAACTTGCAAGGAACCCTTTTTGATAGCAAAGACTTGCATGCGCGTTTTGCAACTGACACCTACGTGACTACACCACACACTTGGAAATGACACTGAGATTTCCTATAGGAATAGTAACACTTGGAGTCTTTTGTCAAATGTGCCACAGATGCTCTGTCAGTGGTAGTACAATTACATAGCTTAAATGTTTCTGAAAACTTTAGTGCAGGCCCTAAATCTGTGTATCTTAGTGACCTAAGGTGATTGATAATGCTTCATGTTCTGCTTACATCATTATTTTGAAATTGCATTTTGGTCTCTGTACTGAGGTATATTTAGAGAAGCCCATGAGATATATGTCCGTGTAGTTCTACAGTTCAAGCAGGGATGAAGATTTTTGTACTATTTTGAAGACTTGTAACTCCTAGAACTATGATTATATAAGTCTCATATCAGAAAGTTTGTTTTTGTTAACCAATATCATATGAACTGTAAAAGCTTACAGTCGAAAACTGCCTAGCAAAGACTTGCATGCGCGTTTTGCAACTGACACCTACGTGACTACACCACACACTTGGAAATGACACTGAGATTTCCTATAGGAATAGTAACACTTGGAGTCTTTTGTCAAATGTGCCACAGATGCTCTGTCAGTGGTAGTACAATTACATAGCTTAAATGTTTCTGAAAACTTTAGTGCAGGCCCTAAATCTGTGTATCTTAGTGACCTAAGGTGATTGATAATGCTTCATGTTCTGCTTACATCATTATTTTGAAATTGCATTTTGGTCTCTGTACTGAGGTATATTTAGAGAAGCCCATGAGATATATGTCCGTGTAGTTCTACAGTTCAAGCAGGGATGAAGATTTTTGTACTATTTTGAAGACTTGTAACTCCTAGAACTATGATTATATAAGTCTCATATCAGAAAGTTTGTTTTTGTTAACCAATATCATATGAACCGTAAAAGCTTACAGTCCAGAAAACTGCCAAAAAGAGTGTTACTTAACGCTTAAAACATCACTTGTTTATCAGAGGCCCACATTTTTTCATGATTAGCGAACTACTCACGTCAGAGCTAGCACCCCTTTCTCTGAAGGGAGAGGGTGCATGTTCAGGCCTGTTCAGTATGCATTTATTGGTTCCTGTAGGCTGTTCCTTGTCTGAGCTAGAGTTTCTACATGTGAAATCGCTGTCATGGTCTATCTGTTACCAAAAAGATCTTCCATCTTCCCACTTCCACTGCAGTGTTAACTCTGAAAGTGGGTATAACCAGGGGTTGCCTCGGAGCAAGGGCTTACTAGATGTAATATGGCCTTGGGAAGTACCCTGTTTAACATTAAGCTACTGCCACTACTGTTCCCCACACCTGCCCTGCCCCTGCACTGGCACAGATTGCCCAGAGAGGTTGTGGAGTCTCCATCCTTGGGGATCTTCAAAAGCCGTCTGGATACGGACCTGGACAACCTGCTCTGAGTGGCCCTGCTTGAGCCAGTGGGGTTAGAACAGGTGACCTCCAGAGGCCCTTCCCACCTCAACCATTCTGTGATTCTATGAAAAAAGCTTTTTGATATGGAAGAGGAGAAAAAAAGGAAGTGCTGGATTTTGGGGGAACATGGAAGGGATGGTAAGAACAATGTTAATTCCACTTAAAATAAAGGGCTTTTCTCTGGTATCAAAGCTGGTTTTGATTTATACTGAGCTTCCATACTGCTACTTCGATCTGTTGCTCCTTGTAGCAAATAGCTAAACTTGGGTTGGTCCTACTTCGCAAGACTGATAAAGTACAATTATAACACACTTGTATTTTTTTTAAAAAGTCGGTTTTGGCTAATAGCCTACACTTTTTTGTTTTTGTCGTTGAAATAGCTTGTCCCCCTTTGCGGAGGGGGGAGGCAGGGGGCAGAGAGCAAATTGTCAGATAAAAAATGCTTAAAGTAGTAATGATACTAAAAAAAAAAAGCTGTGGAGTATGTTCTACATGCCTAACCCTGCTATATTGACCTTCGTTAAAATTGACAGTAAATTATATATATAAGGTGTTTCTTATTTTATATAAAATATAAAAAAATATATAAACATAAATATCATGGAGTTTCTTTACAGAAACTCAATTTTCTTCTGTTTAGAATGAAAAGGGAATTCAGTTTGTGTTGTCTATTGGTATATGTAAGCACAAATTCATTATTGCTGTATGGAAGATTGTGTCATCTTTGGTGAAGAAGGGGCAACATTTTCCACCCTTTCCCCAGTGTTTTCTTCAGGAAGCAGTGATATTTAATTTTCATCACAGGGAAATGGGACACAATTAAAAATGTTATCGTATGTTCAGGATTTAGATACCAGACTTTTGTAAGTAAATGATTCTTGTAAGATCTGCTAGAACCTCTGACAATCTTGGTTGACTGTGATTGTTCGTCTCCCTGAGTAAATTAATGGCATGTGTCAGGGTGGAATTTATGAAGGTGAAACAGGGAATCTTAATGTGGTAGGCTAAGTCCACTTCATATATGATTTTAGGCAATACATGGAATACGCTGGTAACAATAACTTGTCTGTTGTCTAGTTCGGAGGAAAATGTTTTATGCATCTACCATGCACTTGAGCTAGTCACCACACCAAGAAAAAGTTGTAGAGCTTAGTGGAGCTTCTGGGTAGGGAACCAAGTATTGTGCGAAAAACTTGGGTTTTTACTATTCCTTGGTGCATTCTAGCAGATTGTCTGTATTCTGTTACCTTAGTTTACATAAAGATGCACTTGGACTGTCAGCCAAGTACATACGCTAGTGTATTCTAATCGTGTTGAAACTATTAAATATATTGTCTGTCTTTTGTAACTTTTTCCACTGGAATGGCTAAGATAAAGTGTTTTCTTCAAATGAAGTCACTGATTATTCTGGAAGACAAGGATGCTTTCTGAAGCCTGAACATGTCAAAACTTGTGCCACTGTTCTTGTTCAGTGACAGAATCTAGATCAAGTTCTCCTTGAATTCAAGAAGACCTTATATTAAGTACAGTAACTGTGAGAAGAGAAAGTTCTCTGTACACTAATTTTGTAGGTAGGGCTGAGGGGTAGCCTATAGTTGATAAATGTCATTCTTGCTTTTCATGGTTTTAAATCAAGATAACTTCCTATAGTTCTGCAGATAACTATCTTACTACATATAGGTTTTTTCCAGCATTAATATTAGTATTTCTTAATCGTGTTCTGTGTTAATCTTTGAATTATGCTAAAGCTTCTGTTATTACTAAATATTAGAAGTAAATGTTTCTTCTAACAACTGTCAGGTGCTAGATAGCACTTCTGAAAAACATGAGCATGGAGAGCTCAAGGTCTGCAACTATGAATATTTATTTTTCAGGTCTGTGTTCTTTTGAGTGTGTTCTTTTAAGTGCTGAGATTTTTACAGAATACTTTTCTGTGAGAACTATCTAATTTATGTAGGATCTCTGAAGTTTTTCACCAGTGCATATGAAGATGACTCTTGCATCCTGTAACTGTTTGACAAGCATTATTTATCAAGTAAAGAGGAAATTGATTAACTGTGGAGCAGAATTGTGTAAAATTGAATTCAGAACCATTTTCTGTTTTTTCATAATAAAATGATTACTGAAAGAATTCCAGCTGAAGACTGTTGAAAGCTGGCTGCAGTTTATGATATAACGGATAAAATCTGCATCCTTGGCCTTCCAACAACCTTTACACCAGCAGATGGTGGGCGTAAAGATGTCATTCATCATTTATTTACAATGGGCTTTATTTATTCTAGTGTCAACAGCTGCCCCAGGGAGCGGGTTATTGAATTCAAATGTGAAGCTCTGGGTTATTTGCTTCCTTTCAAATTTGTCTTCAGAGCTTAGTTGCTAGGAGTCCATTCTGTGCTCTAATAATGATTCATGTATTGTGAAGCCATTCAGTAAATTGGGTTGTCAGGGATTGCCGAAAAAGGTTTAGAGGTCTTGTTCCGATTTTTTTTTTTAAACAGCACTGTGCTGTAGTTGGTGTCTTCTCCTTATGTGCCTTCTCTTGCTAGTGTTAGAGACTTTGTCCCCAATTGTCCCCTCTCTGATTTCCCTTCCATACTCCTTCTTGTCCCTGTCCTCTGAAAAGTAGAATTCTGTGATTCTGTCGTTCTAAGTTTGTGGTTTTCAGCACCAAAAAATAAATTTGAGATATGAAATAATGAAATTTTGTCTTCTACAGGCAGGGCAGGAGTCCTTCCGTTCCATTACAAGGTCATACTACAGAGGGGCAGCAGGGGCTTTACTAGTGTATGACATTACAAGGTGAGAATACCAAGGAGGTATAACTGAATTAAAATTATATGTCTTTGTAGAATTGTGCTATGGTATACAGCAGTGTGAAAATGTCTAAATTAGTTTGGTTTTTTGTATAGATATTTGTAATGTAATGTGTTGCCAACTTTCCTTAAGTGCTCAAAAATCAAGATATAGCCTATGTAACATATATACTTCCAATTTCCTCTGTATGGTGGTTGAGAAAAAGTATACATAAAGTCTTGGGAAGAATGAAACAAAATATTTTTGTAAACTATTTGACCATGAACCTCTGGATTACCTTTATTGAGAAAGACCTTAAAATATTTCATTCATTCCTTTCTAGCATTTTTATTACCATGAGCTATAATTTTTCTTCAGTTATAGCAGGTTTTTTAGTGAAGTGCCATTCTGCAAAGGAGTGAAATAGTAAAACATCAAAGTTTGGTTACATAAAAATACCAGGAAACTTCTACCATTGCTGTGTTTATGAGGCTGGGAAAATACAGGTCTTAGTGTGATTTTTTGTAGCAGCTATTCAGAAGTGACTAAGGTTTTCCTGCTGCATTGAATAAAGTATCTATACAACTTGTTATCTGCAAAACTGTGGGTACTGTGGCTGGTTTATGAAAATGTTCAGGCTCCAAAATCCTATTAGGGTGTGTGGCTCTCTTTGTGGATCTTGGGTCTTGTTGCTGAATTAAGCAACAGCTTTTACTAGAGATTTCCAAGATGGTTTTTCCTTTTGTTCCCTGTTTATTTTTAAATATCAGGAAGCAATGTATTCTTTCCATTGGATTTCCAGCAAATGAATCTTTGATTCATACATAGATGGTTTTACTCTTGTGAAATCTTAAACACACTTTACAAGCATGTGATTTAATATTTAGAGTATAAATTCTGTAAAATATGTAACATGCCATATTCGTGCACCTTACTTCAAAAGACTTTGCTGCTAAATTCATTATTCAGTTTATAAACTCTCAGAAAACTGTCAATCACTTTCTGCCTTCAATAGAACAAGTATTACTATATGAGTATGTGATTATTTGTACTGTTGTTTGAATTGGTTGAGGCTGTTAGGGACTTTTAAAATTCCATTCAGCAGATTTTATATGTATATAAAATTACAGATCCTTACAGCTGTAAGAATCCTCTTTATTCTTTGTAGCAAACATGTTTTCAATTACTTTTTAGGCAGAGCTCCTTAATGCTCCTTGTTTGCTAAATTTTTGTTTGCCTATTCTCCCTCTCACAAAGGGATTACTAGCTTTTATTCCTGGAGCATGTGTACTAATAAATGAGTTGGTTAGTCAAGTAGAGAAGCTGACTAACAGAAGGGACAGAGATTTCTTGAAATACTGCTTTTAATTTTCATTGTCTTCCATACTTAGGAGGGACACTTTCAATCACTTGACAACTTGGTTAGAAGATGCTCGTCAGCATTCCAATTCCAACATGGTTATAATGCTTATTGGAAATAAAAGGTAAAACTTAACCAGTTATGATTTTGTAAGTGATAAAGATTTATGACTTCTGGATTTCAGCTTTTGTGTTTTCTTATTGTAGGTAGTATGTTAACTTTAAATTACTTTCAGTCACTGGACGTAGTTCTATGGTGAATCTAAAACCTTTCCTTTTCTAATTAGACCAATACAATGTGTAGCACATGTGGATCAACTACCTTATGTTCTGAGTACCTTTTTTAGAAGTAATACTATTTTAAAATGATTGACTGAATGCATGAAGTCATGGATTTTATGAATTTTGCTCATTAGGTTTTTCTACATCTGGAATCACCATTTAGAAGCACCTAGATCTCCCTTATAAAGACAATATGACTCCTAATTTTAGGTGTCCTAATGTGCTTTAGTTTTTGGTTAAGAATCACAGCAGAGAAAATGTCATTTAAAAAAAAAAAAGCCCATACTACAGGATTCACTTCAAAAACTTTTCTCACATGTAAAAAGTGCGTACCTCAATGATTATATGAGACATTTATGAATTCTAAGCCTGTTTCATATTCTGTATGTTTTAGCTGGGGTTGGGGCAGAGAGTGCTTTTTGACCATTTCCTGGTGAATTCAGGCTGCTCTTAGACACTGGGTGATGAAAAGACAACAAAAAGTCTTGGGAGTGTGTTACCCAATTTGTAAACAATTATTTACTTGGTCTTCTCAGCAGCTAGACTGTCCAAAGTTCTAAAATGGTTCCCTCTTGATGCTGAGACTTTGATCTGTATTGAAGGTCTTTATAAAAACACATCACTGAATACATTAAGTTTATCTGTAATTTTTTTCTAGTTCTTGATCTAGTGAACTGTAGCATCATGTCTAGATTTTTTTGCTGGATGTAGGTCTTTTCCAAATACCAAAAGCATCATCTCGGAATTTAATAACCCATTAGTTACAGGCCTTCGCCTAATTGACCTTTATTTGTCTCCATGCCTCAGCAATTCTTGACGGTAAAGGTGCCAGTTGAAATAATGGTGTGTATGCTTGTCCCTTAAAATTGAATGAACAGCCAGATCATTTCTTAGATACTACTGAGAAACAGCTTGGTGGTAAAGAGAGTCTGTTATTGCTACTCTGGCCTGTTCATCTCTTATTTTCTTCTTCTTCCCCCTTCTCCCTTCTATTTTCCTCCCTCTGCCTCCCCCTGAAAAACATGCTAAGCATTAAGTAATTGTGAAGCTTGTCCACATTTTTATACATAATCTGGAAAATGACTAACGACGTTCTTTTTAATTGAGGAATGTGATAAGCACAGTCATCACAAATTAATATAAAAATGTAATCTCTTTTACTAAACGAAGCTTTGGTAAGCCCGTGATGTCCCTGACCAACTGTTCTTATGCTTATGTGAGTAAAAATATGGCACTGAGAGAAACAGTAAAGTATACTGTTTACTTGAGATAAGTACTACATAAGTTTGCATACTTTGTTGACATCTGTAACTATTCCTGATTATTCTTAGCAGTTAAACTAAATTTGTCTTGCATTCTGCTGATGCAGACTGTACCACATGATTGTATGTTATAATATGCTACTTGCAGCTAGCTCAGTAATTCCCAGTTACAACTAGGTTTTATTCAAACAATAAATATACTTAAATTATGTATGTTAAGTTACAGATTAAGGTGCTACATGAAGTAAAAGTTCTTTCATAAGCTTTTTAAATGGGATTATTTTCAAACCTTTCATAAGCTTTTTAATTGGGATTATTTTCAAGCCTCAAAGAAACTCCTTCAATTATAATGCACTATCCTGAAAGAGTGTTACAGGAGTTCTTATAGTAGGGCATGGATGGAAGGAAGAATGTGTATACTAGCATAATTTATTTGAAGGAATAAATTTTGCTCTTATGAGTTTCAACAGTGCACTTGATATATGTTTGTAGTTTTGATTTACTGCTGGATTTGAAGAGTGTTGAGAATTTAATCTGAAATATAATAGCTGTTTTTTTGGAAACATTACAAATACTAGTGTTAAAACATGACAAATACTGTACTTAATCTTCTTTCCAGAACAAAACATAGCTATATTGATCTAGTAAGACCAAATGCCTCGAATTATTGGAATGGAGAGAGGAAGACAACTGTGGTTAGTAGAAGCAGTTAAAGCTCTTTAAGAATATGTTTAGATATCAGTAGTGAGTTTTGACTGGGTTACCACTGCAGTTTTCGATGCAGCTGCACTATTTCAAGTCAAAAGAGTTGTTTATTTCTGTTCTATCATGGAAATAACACTGTAGTGAATCAAGGTTTTAAATAAGGTATTTTTGAGGGTAGCATGGTAGTAGCAAATAAAGACATTGCTCAAGTTCAGAAATACAATGTCAGATAGCTACTTCAGGGACATGAGAATGAACACCTTGTTAAAATATCTTAAGCCTGAGGCTGAGATACTGGAAACGCTTATGTATAATGAACATCAACTTTAACAGTGTTTTGAGAAGTCATTTCTTGTATCCTTATCTTCAAATGTTCCGTGTTTAAATGATGTGCTGAGTTGTCTTGACTCTAACTCATCTGAGCTAGCATGTAGTTGTAAATATAACAAAACCCTGTGTTGCTGCAAAATAGAGGCCACAGTGAGTATCGTTTATTTTTAATATATGTGTAATTACAAGGATGGCAGCACTGAAGCCCAGTGTGATACTTTTTACTGGTATTCTGGCTGCAAATTAAACCTCTGTATTTGCATGCTGTTCAGTTTAAAAATGTGCATGTAAAAATATGTTCTCAGATACACAACTTAAATGAAACTATTTAAATGTTATATTTATTATTTATGTATAAACGTAGCATTGTTATTGCTCAAGATGTAATATACTTACAAAGAAGGATAGAAACTGTACTCCTTGTTCCTAAAGAAGCTTTAAAAAGTAAGAGTGAAATACGTATGTGTCTATATGACTTACAGAAGTGGATTTGTCTTTAGTTGTCCAGTCGGAATGTTTTTTTCCTGTTCTTTTGTGTAATGTTTAACTTTCATCTAAACTGCTTGGTAAGCAGGAAACGAGGTTTTGTAACAGTCACTTCAAGTTCTGCCGTTAGAGGGCCAGGCCTGGAGTTTCAAAACCTAAATGCTAGCTTGTTGGGAGACAACAGCTAATGTAGTTCAAAATAACTTATTTTTGCTTTAAGTCTTTTTATCAGAACAGAAATTGACTGTGTGAAGTTTTGTTACTGAATAGAAAAAATGAACTCTAATTTTAAAATTATTTTTAATATCATTAAGAAATCTTCTGTAAAACTTGCTTATGAGTTCAGCTTTACAGTGTGGATTGGTAGATAACATTATACTGGAAAAGTGATATTTACCTAAAATGACAATGTCTAAAGTTAGCATTCAAGGAATAGCTAGATAAGTATACATGCATCCTGTTGAAAGCCGTTTCATGAAGTCTTTTATAAGATCTATGTCAGCTAGGATTGATATCTCAAGCAAGTCTGATGTCTGTGGCTACTCCATATACTGTAAGTGCAAGACTTGCATTAATTCTACTTTATGTAAGGGCTTGAGTAGATATTCATATGTATGTGAGTTCTAATGAGGGCTTTTGGCTTATAACCATGTCTCTGAAGAATAATATTTACATGGACAGGTTAGACCATGTGACTAATTTATTTTTTTTTTATCTCCAGTGATTTAGAATCGAGACGAGAAGTCAAGAAAGAGGAAGGTGAAGCATTTGCACGAGAGCACGGACTTATCTTTATGGAGACATCTGCCAAAACTGCTTCCAATGTAGAGGAGGTAACTTTGCTTAATACTGGTATTTTAGTAAAACAGTTGTTTTGAATTGCGCTTTATTTGTACAGATACTATTCCTCTAGGTTTTGGATTCCTCAACTTGAATTAAGTACTCTTTATATTACGAGAAAGACAATGTCTACATTGTATCTGATTGCATGGCACTAATTACATTGCTGAGACTCTAGTAATTAATATACTTGTTCTTTTTCAAAATACTTGATCAGAGAAATAGGTACTTCTGTCTGTCCTGAAATCTAAAAAGTAAGACTAGAATAGATTTGCTAGTCCAAAGCAAGCCAAGCTATTGGTATCCTTGGCAGATGTCAATCTAACCTGTTTTAAAGACCTCTAATATTTCATAAGCTCTTCAGAGCAATCTATTGCAATGTTTTGGTATTTGTATTGTTGTCATCTTTCCCCTTCGCTACCTAGCAGGAATCATCTTTGCTGCAATTCACACATGCAATTTATTTTTCTGTCCTCTACAGAGCTGCTGAAGAGGTCATTATCTTGGTTGCTGTAGTCTGCTATGTGTTTGAATAATTTTTTACAGTCTTTGCTACTTTAGAGTAAAGAACTTAAGTCTTTTGAAGTTTTGCTTATAACAAAAAAAAAAGTTCTTACATATCTCACCTTGATTTACTGCACGCCTTTCTTGAAGGGTGGTTGTGGTGGGTTGACCTCAGCCAGCAACTAAGTGCCCATCCAGTTGCTCGCTCACTCCCCCTGTCCAGTCAGATGGGGAAAAGAACCAGAAGAGCCAAAGTGAGAAAAACTCAGGGGCTGAGATAGAGTTTAATAAATGAAGGAAAGAGGTGGGGGGAAGAGTGGTGGAAAGGCAGTCACTCACAACTTCCCACAAACTGATTGATTCCCAGCCAGTCTCTGAGCAACAGCTACTTTGGAAAGACTACCCTTTGGTTTTTATTGTTGAGCATGATGTCATATAATATGAAATATCCCCTAGGCCAATTCTGGTCAGCTGTCCTAGCTGTGTGTCCTCCCCCCAGATTTTGCCTACCCCAAGCCTAATCACTGTGGGGGGCAGAGTAAGAAACAGAAAACCTTGACACTATGTAAGCACTGCTCACCAGTAGCTAAAACATTGGTGTGTTATCAGCGCTGTTTTAAGTCACAAATCCAAAACACAGCACCATACAGGCTGCTGTAAAGAAAACTAACTCCATCTTAGCCAGACAGTGGTGGACAAAGAGCTCCAGCTGAGATGTTAGTGCGATGTAAAACAGAAAGTTTGCTTCATATGTCTTTCAGGCCATTACTCAGTTCATATATTGCCACTTACTAACCCTTTTTTACAATAGCATGACATAGTTCAGCTTCTCATGCGACGTAATCTGCCCTTACTCTTTTCCAAAATTGTCCTAAACGCAAAATGGTGGACAAGCAATGAGGTATTCTTTCAGTGGTAAAGTCTTCTACTTTTTAAATATTTAGTGTTTTTTGAAAAGTTATAGTAAGAGTAACAAACAGCTTTCACTGACTTCATTCTGGTTTGTTACTACCTGATTCTAAGATTAGCACCTCTCTCCATGTCAAAAAATACGTGCTAGTGAATGAGCTGTCCAGTACCTAATACATCTCTGATTATCAAGAGGAAAATGGGCATAAAGTTCTCTATCAAAAAAGTTGAAATAGGATCCTCTTCTGATGATGATACGAGTGAGTGATTGCTTGCATGTGCTAACTTTCTAATTCTGATGGAAAAGCTTTAGGATATAATCCTTTTTAGTGACAATCAAATGCATTCCTTAAATGGTATTCTCAGTCAACACTAAAAGAGGTGGCATGATCTAGAATAGTTACAACTGAAAGAGCAAAATCTTAATCTTTGAGCCAGTAAAAATAAGTGAGGAGAAATAGTAGGCACGGAAGGTAAAAGATATCACTTTGTGGACAAAAGAAGAGACCATTTTCATTTTAATGCTGATTCTGGACTGTACAGTATCAAAAAAACAGAAGGGAATGAGGAAATCGTGTGGAATGGGCAACATTTGAGGAAAGAACAAGTAGTGTGCAAAATGGAGGCAAATCTAGCAAGCTTTCAGTACTTGACTTCAGGACTGGAAAGAAATGATAGTTTTGTGACTGCCTGAGGATGTAGAAACTAAACAGGAAGAACATTTGAGGTAATTCACCTAAAGTTAGATGAAATTTTAAACAGAAGAAAGCTGTGGCCCTCTGTCTACTCATGTTACCTTATGTGGTGGCAGTGGAGAACATTTTTACTGGCTTCTTTGGGAGATTAAGGGCTAAGAAAGTAAAGGTTTTTCGACTAGAAAGAATATGTATTTATACTGTTGAATTTTTGCATTGATGGAAATAGACTGGATCTAAAAAGCTGGACATTGCTAGTCTCTGAATTTGCATCTGGATTATTATATCAGATGTTTTCAAATGCGTTTGTATTAAGTGTTGAAGCAGACGCTTTCTTCTACTTCCTTAGGTTTCAGATAAATTGTCAAATACTTTTTATGCATTTAATTTGAGTCTCAGAACACTCATCTTTTCCAAAAGTACCAGAATTTTTAGATGGAACTACTGGGGTCAAAGCGGCTCTCTCTAATTGTATGGAGGTTATAAGGGGGGAAAAAAGCTATGGGACTTTGGGGGGAAGGAATATCCCCTTAATTACTCAGCAGTATTTTTAAATCCATGCTGATAAATCACTGGTGACTATAGTGTATCATGCATGGGTTATGCAGTTAACCATTACAGTGCCAGGACACCTGTAGAAATCTTTAAAGTCAAACATATCTGTATAAGATACAGCATCAGCAGTGTTGGAAGAGCAGGTGATTTTACTGGAGATAGATATAGCTCTGGAACAAAATGATAGATGTAGATTCTAACTAGATAACAACAAAGACTTATGCAAACAAAAGCTTACATGAATACACCTTCAGAAATATGTAAGAATTATTTGCACCTATTAGGCCTCTGTTCTTTTCTCAACTCTGTATTTAACAAAGTCTTACAGAATGATAAAACTAATATTTAAGATTTATTTTTAATTCAGTTATCAGCCTTCTGTCCTTCTTACCCATCAATAGGAAATACTCCTCAAAAAGGGTGCTTTAGAGAAGGACACTTTACTGTAAGGCACATGCATGTATACATATGGAAATGCATAGATACAACAGGCTAGAACATTCCCAGATAACAACTGGTGTCTTGTTTTCTCTTTCCCAAAAGAGGGATTTTGCCATACGGAGATCATGTAGTTGACTAATAAAGCTTTGGCCCACTGCATTTGTGCCTGTGTTGCGTTGCTTAGTGGTTGCTATACAAAACAAAGCAGTAATGGTAGTGTATTTCTGGGTACTGAAGGAAGTAATGCAAGTGTGATTGCCAGGAAAAGTGACAACAAAGAAGCTACACAGTATCCAGTAATAGGGCTTAAACTATTCTTCCACCCATTTAAGAGAAATAGATCCAACTTCGAGGTATCTGTCCAAAGTAGAATTAGGAAGAATATCTCCTGGCCAAACTTGTTTTGTGTTTTTTCTCATTACAGAGCTGGTTCTCAAACTTTGCTTTCTGAATCTGAGGCAAAAGTACTCATGGCAAAAGAATCAAGACTGTTAAGGGTTTAGAAATAATCATTTTGGATTATTCATGGCATCCCTTCCTCAAATCACTTGAATCCTCTGTAGCCTACCTCAGTATGTGGAAGCAGTCTATCTCATTATAGACACACATGGCTGCTCGAAATACTAGTCACCACAATTTTATTTATTTTAACAAAAATGCTTTAATGCATGTTTTTAGAGTAGAAAATGCGGTAAACTCATCTTTAGTTTTTTAGCATGGCTGCTTGTTTCAGTAATTTCTGAAGTAGTAAGGGAGACTCTTCAGGCAGTTCTAAAAACCTTCTGAGGTAATTCTTCATGGAAAAAATGAAAATAATTTCAGAAGTGTTCTGAATTAAATGACTTTGCTTTGTAAAAAAGCAAGGTTATAGCAGTCTTTTTTCTGAACTGCTCATGCTGCTTTTTCAAGTCTCTTTAGTTTATAGAAGATGGATTAATTATTATATCTTTTGGTTGACATAAGTAAGTCTCCCTGTACAGCTTGCGTCCTACAGGTGTAAAGAAACTCTATAGCAAGTGCTTTTTATCCATTTTAATTATTCTTGAGACACTGTTAGCTATACAGGTTACTGTATTGTTCTCAGTCCCACACAGTTAGTGGGTTATCTAACCGCATTCCACATATTCTGAACAGCTACTTCAGTAAGGGCATTGCCTTGTATGCTATCAAGTCTGTCCTGTTACCTTGGGAAGCTTAGGCTGCTTACCACGTGAGCGTTTCTACAGCATCTGTAGATCTGGCATGCAATTCCTAACTTCATTGTCTCTAGCCTATGTCCAGACTAATACCTGGTGCAGCAGCAGCAGTGCTAGTAACTGTGTGGCTCTTTTACGCCGAATACCAAGTTCTTGTTACTGAGGAATTCAGGAGGGGCAATGTGGCATTACAAACCTGTGGTGCTACATAAGTTAGCAGGCAGATCACCATTGTAAAGCACAAGCAGATAGCCATCAAAGTCTTGTGGTCCTAGTCAGTGCCATTCAGCATACAGACTACTTGCATTTCATGCAGATGTAATATTGAAACACAGCAGCACATGGGTGTATGTCTCTTGTGTGTACCAGAAGCAGTTAAATGGCCAGAGGAGACTTTTTTCCTAATAGATTTTTTTCATCTCTCTAGTTGAAAATACATGTTTCTCTGTCAAAAGTGACAAGACAAGCCTCTAGACTTTGTTTTGATCAGTTTGACATTGTTTCTGACCCAACTTTATCTTACCTTGTGTCATAAATGTCTGTTGTAGATGTTTGCAAGCTAATGGTGGAGTCTTTAGCAGTTTCTTTATATGAACAAATCAGCTTCTGTTGTTAATGTTATTCAAGCTGTTTCCCTTGTTTAAACCGGATTTCCGCCACTGTGTAATGCCTTAGTCAATGTCTAGCCCTACC